TCCTCGCTAAGGGCAACGGGCCCCAGAGCCGGGCGGCGAGCTGCTGAGGCGGTAGGGTTCCCTTGCTCTCCAGCCAAGCCGGGGAAGGGGGTTCCTGGCCTTCAGCCCCCGCTCAGGCAGCCCCACCGACCGCCTCGGCCGCACCTGGTGGTAGGGGACCTCCGGGGTCTGTTTCCTTTGCCAGATGTGGAGGTGAAACTGTCGCTTTGCTCCTGTCCGGCATCCCAGGTGTCGGAGAGACCCTTGGGTGCTGGTCCCTGGGTAGCCATCAGTTATCTTCGTCGCGGGGTAATTGGACATTGCAGTGAATGCGTGTGTAGACCAACTGATAACTGTGCCTCAGCTGGGTAACATTTCTCTTGCATCTGTCTCTTATTCTCTCCCCAACCTTTCTCGTTTTAGGTCAGCAGTAGGGGCAAACAATACTTCGAATACAGCACCTTTGCTTCGGAAGGTCTCGTGTTGCTTCACAATTTAGGGTAAGTGACCCACATCTTACTGATAGGATTTAGCTATGCTATCTTCAGTATTAATACCTTTGAAGATATTAATGACTTACCTAGTTTTAGATCTGGGTGCTCAGAGCAGAGTGTGCAGATATCTATTCTAATAGCAGAGAAAATGTTCTTGTGTCACCAAAACTTTATCTGTTAATAGTTGTTAACAGTGGTGAACGTGACAAACAAGGTGAGAAAACATCTTGTTCAATGTCCTGATCAAGCATAAATGTTCAGTGTGTGTTATCGAGGAATGTAAACAAGTATCAGGAACAGACGTGACTCCATTCTAGATCTCATGTCTAAATTATAGGCACCACTTACATTGCCTTGTAGTAACCAACAATTTTACCTCTTTAGGACACTGTAAAACTAAATTTGTCAGAAATTATTCCTTGTCTAAATGTCTGAATCCTGTGCTTAATTTTTTAGTTTGGATGTCTGAATAAGAAATATTTAGTCCTGTAAACTCTCAGAAAATTTGCAGTTGACTTGTAGATCAATTTGCAAATGAAAAAAATTAATAACAGATATGAGAAATGTATAGAGTATGAGTCTACACTTAGCAGATATGGATTTCTTCCTCTGTAACTGATGTGCTGTGTGACCAGTCTTTTCTTTCCTGCACATCTGTTTTATGATGTCTAAAAAAAGGTTGCCAATACTTTCAGAAATTACTTCAAGATCCCCACATGAAAAGGGCTCAATGTTATGTATCAAATCTAGTAGATGAAATTTTCTCCTGATAAAAAAAGTGCTTATAAAACACTAGACAAGACATAGGCATCTCTTATGAATAATAATGGCACCTCATTCTATTATGAGAGACGTTCAGCACCTCTGAAAGGCTTTCCCTTCTGTACTGTACTTGTAAAATGAGACCTTGTGTTAAATTGAATCTTAACTTGTACAAGTAATACGTTTTGAACAAAAAATGTATATACAAAACTGCAAGTGTATACTGAGATTTACTATGAAGTATAATGGACATTGTTCACTCAGTGTCTGTATTGGCAGTGGCTTCCCTGTAATTTTTTCAAACTTGTGCTCTTAAAATCAACATAGTAAGCTCACAGGCTCCTCCTGCTGGACTTCGGCGTATTTACAGCATATTTTTGGCTTTTACTTGAGTTACCAACATTCCTTTAACTGTGCTATTCTGATCTCCCCTACAGCTGCAAAAACTTGTTTTTCTGTGATTTTATGTTACTTGAAACATAAGTTTGCTTAAATTCTTTTATACTGTAATATTTTAAATTTCCTCTACTCTCAGTTGTTTATAAGATTAGATAATTTCTCCCATGGAATGTCTGAGAATGAATCTGCAAATGTGAGTTTTCCTTTTGTTGTTTCTTCAGCATGCTGCCTGAACATTAAGTTTCTATACCTGCAGTGCTGTATAATTCTGTTAAATGGTGGTTAGTTTGACTGTGTTTAAGGAAAATATTAGTATTTTTAAAGGTAAGTGTGGGCATGTGATTTTTTTTGTTTTGTTTTTGGTAGGATTGAGATTTTGAATAGCTGTCTCTAACATTCAAAATTTAAATCTGTCCATCAGCATTTTTGATAGTAATCTCTCCTGGCAACATTTACTAACTATCTGCAGTTGACTAAAATTCAGCATAGAAAATGAAGCCTGTATTCTTTTTTGTATACAAAGATAATGCCCTACTGTTACTACAGGTTTCTTACAGGTCTTCCTCCTTTTACAAAAAGAAGAGCTATGCTGGCATGGCCCTCTGCTCATAGCGTGAATAATCAACTGAAGAGGAGCAATGCATTACACAGAGATTCTTCATACCTTTTCCCTATCTTTAAAAAGTTATTTTCTAGTTCATAACACAGCATTTTACAGCCCATTGTCTAAAATGTTGAAGAGCAATGCAGATGAGACACTAGACACTTCTTGGATTTGGTCATGTACTGCCAAGGAAGTTAACCCTAATTCATGTAATAACTAGCTTAAAGCTATGCCCTCATGTTTCCTATTTGTGCTGTCATTTATTTCACCATGTAAACACAGGGAATGAGGAAAAAGCAGTGAGGGAAAACAAATGTGAAAGTAAGGTACTTGTAGAGGTAAATGGGAGAGGGAATGGAACCAGGCCACATTTCAGAGTTTTTAATTGTCTTGTAATTATTTTCACATATCTTTCTTTCCTGGAATAATTTTTCTCAATTATATGGATGGATTTTTTGGTTTTGTTTTAAATTTGTTTGATTTAATACTGATGATACATGATTCTGTAGGCCCTTATGCCAAGTTCTCACAGTCTGCTGTTTAATATCCTATTCACTTCCAACTTCTGTATATTGCTGACTCCTCATAGTAGAAAACAAAAAAAAGTACTTTCTATGTTGCAATGATCTTATAAACTGCATTCGGTATGGGTCAAAAAAATGCTGATTAAATTACCCAAGATCATCAAAGAATATCTGTCCCCTCCAGGCAATTTGGGTTCCCACTGCTTGTGGCTTAGGGCTTGACTAAGTCAGGACTGTTGGGATATTAGCAATGTCTTAATATCTGGTGTTTAAGCTACCTTTAAAGATTCCTATTTTTGTCTGTTCTGAAAATTCAATTACTATTTTCAGGCATATATTCCAAAATACCAGTTCTAGAGGCCAGTAACATACCCCAGTAAAAGGTGCTGATTCGAAGTCCGAAAGTCTTGCAACACTGATATGAACTACTATGGTTTCTGTGAGAACAGCCCTCATATGGGCATTATTCATAGCATCCTTTATACAGTTACTGTGTCTTGTGTGTAGAAAGCAGTAACCTATTGCCACTCTGCTTAGGGTGGAGAAAGTCTGCTGTGTATGAATGTCAATAAAGTAAGTCTGTATTCTTACATCTGTTATTTAAATGGGTGCATCAGCCACTCTAACTTTTCTAGGAAAATACATAGTAGTTCTTAAAAGCTTTTATACTTGGTAAGTTTTAAAGAAGCTTTCTTTCTGTGTACATGGTGAAAGGATATATAGTCAGTCCATCAGTTTCTTTACAGTGTAAGGCATCAGAACACTCAGTTTATCCATGGAGCTGAGCAGAAGTAGAGAACTTCTTTACAAAATAACATTTAAATGTTAAGGCAGATAAGAATGCACTGTTCACTTTGTAACTAGAGGTCAGAATTTATTCCCCCCATGGACTGTAGGGATCCAAATAATAGGGAGACCTGTAGACTTGTGACTTTATGATTAATCCTGTCACTTTTCTTAAGGAGAAAACGCCTTTTGTATAAACTCATCTACTACCAGAGCTTCTGCTGTTTCTTGAGGACTGAACTGTTAGTGGCTGGATGAACCAATAACCCAGTGCTAACAAAAGCCTTCATCCTATTGAAATGAGAGGGAGTTTTGTCACATATTTCAGCACAAATGAGACTCTAGTTGCTGTGTTGCTTAGTTGAAGTGTTTTTTAACTTGGGTGAGGATTGGCAGATCAATTGGCTAACTGGATGTATGTTTTAGTTTGGCTCATGGTATACTATGCATTTTAATTGATCGTTCTAACCATCGACTTGATTGTAATTTACCTTTGTGTTCATGTACAAGCACTGTTTCTAAGACTAATGAAAAGGTTTGTCATGGCTGCTAGCTTGATAGATTTACACAAGGCTTTCTCATTAATCTGAAGGTATTTTGGTGACTACTTCTGTCATTTGTTTCAGAAAACACCGGTATCTTCATTTACAAAATCAGTGCCAAGCAGAAGATGTCTGACAGTCATTCAGTAATGTGCAATATTCTTAAAAGAAATAGATTAACATCTCCCAGCAGCAATTTTAAATACTCCAATTTTAAAGACACATGTTGTGCTTCGGTATTTCTGGACAGTAGATGCAATGAGTCAGTAAGAAACCCTGATGTAGAACATAAAGAAACATTGAGTGTAACAAGTTTTTCATTGCTACAAGAGCATTCTGAGCACATTCATCCAAATGCTATCTTTACTATGTCATCATCTATCGAAAATGAAATGAATTCTATTTCCTTATCAGAAAGAAGAGAAAGAAATAGAAGTGCAGATTTTCTTGAAACTCCTAAAGTGAGTAGAAAAGGCTCCTCTCTACGCAGGAGGCTGCTTTTATCAAAGACTGGTCCAGCTGGCACAACTGTAGGATGCTGTGAAAGACAAGCTGTCTCTTCAGGAGGCAGCGGGACAAAAACATTCTCTTATGTTTTGAGCTCTGAAGAAAAACTTTCACAAGCTGCTTCAGATTCCCCAAAAGATAGAAGTTACAAATCTCTGACAACTAGCACTTCAAAAACTGAGGATTCTAATCCTGATTGCCCAAAACGGAGACTTTCCTTTTCACAACAAAGGACTTCTACGCTAGATGAGTCCAAATGTAAGGATGCCTTATTGCTAGAACCAGAATGTTTATCTCCAATTCAGTGTAAGGATGTTCTTGTTAGTAATACTAATGAATTCAATGAAAGTGTCCTTGTGAGCATTAGTGATGGGTTGCTTAGGACTCCTACTTACAGTGTGTTAGCTGAGGCCAATGAGGGTAAGTTCCTGACTTCTGTCAACCGTCTTGTAGAGAACTTTAACTTTGAATTATGTGATAAAAACTCTCCTTATGTTAAGCTGGCAAGTTACCCAGATCTTTCCACACCTGAGGATAGTGGATATAATTCACTTCATTTGGACAAATCGGTAGACTTATCTGATCATGAGGGATCTTTCCAAGAGTACTTACAAAAACATAAAGAAAGCACCAAAATTCTGGATAGTAAAAGAAAGACAAGAAAACTTGAACGAGTGAGAAGGCTATCCACTCTTCGGGAACAAGGCTCACAGTCAGAGACAGAAGATCATCATAGCAGTCCTTCTATTTCAGCATGTATGCTAACAGAAGAAAGAAACTTTGTCAGTGAAGACCATGTGTTAGTTTTAGAACAGCCTTGTGGAGACTTAGTTGTAAGTCACGGAGATCTCTCAAGAACTCCAGCTCTGAAAATAGTTCGTGAAATTTGCTTGCAAAGACAAAGGTCAAACCAAAATCAAATATCAGAGAATACTCATGGAACAGAAATATTTGCATTAGATCACATTCTTGCTGGACTTATTGGCAAGAAAATGGGCCTTGAAAAATTAGATATTTTAACAGAATTGAAATACAGAAATTTGAAACATATTCTTGCTATAGTTTTAGATGCTTTGACAGTGGAAAGTCTATGCAGGTAAGTGTTACTGCTCCACCTACACCCCCTCACCCCACCCCTGAAAAGGGGAGAACATGTGTTTCTGCAAATAAATTAGAGGACACCTGCTATTCCAGAAGTTAATCAACAGAATTTGTTTCTGAGGAAATGAAAAAGTTTTGTCACCATTAACCAAGCTCTTTCTGTGTAGTTTTAAAAAATATATTCTATGGGGGAATTAAAAAATAAAGCAAACAAAAAGGCAAACATGGGAATTAGTAAACAGAAAACTAAATCACAGTACTTGTAAATTTTAAAATATATTAAAAATTTCTTTAAGCCTAGAAAGTCACCTTACTGCAAATTCACCAGCAATGCACAGTAGTCAAAACACATTTTCTAGGTGGTTTTTTGGTGTATTTAATTTCCTTAGTTATTTCTAAGCACAAAGATTGTCAAAGACTTTTGCTTCATGAGTAATGTTCTACATTAGTTTTTAATGAAGAGAAACTATGACTTATTTCAAAGAAATCAAGAGTGCCCTGTGTGTTATTAGTTACAAAAGAAATGGGAGAATAGGTGGAATTAGAAGGGCACAGATTGTTTCCAGAACACTTAACACACAAAAATGTGACTTTAGAAACAAACTTGATAAGCTTGTAAGTGGCTTATGTGGAAGGAAGAAACTTAATTTTTTAAGTCAAAGATATGTTCCTTTATTTATATTGTAATTGTTCTCTCTTTTCTGTTACTCTATTCAATGATGTAGAAGAGTATGCGAGATCTGTGTTTCATAACAATATGGTGAACTAATGTATAGCAGTAGTCTGTAAAATGGCCAATAGTATATGAAATCATGCAAAAATCTTTAAAAGGTAGTTTTGCTATCATGACTTCTGTACTACTTGGCAAAAATGTGAAAGTGGATAATGTTTTTCATTGATTCATTCCAGCATTTGGAAAGTAAGCAAAAACTGGCGTGAAATCATTGTACAAGATAAAAGTGCAGATGAGAGGAGAAAGGTGTACATAAAACACCTGAAAGAACAAGCCGAGGTAAGGCTTCTCAAAGGTAACATTTTTTTGAAGTGTGAAAGAAGACAAGTCAGAGGAAAGAAGAAACATCTTGTAAAGCTACAGAAAGGTAGCTCATAGAGGCAGTTCCAACATGAGTATGTGAACGATTCTAGCAGGAGAACGTAACAGCTTTTATTGCTTTTGAACTGTCCATAGTTTGAGTACTAGTCTTTCAACCATGTGTGACACCTTTTTCTTTTTTCCCTGTGTCATGTCCCCCCCCTAAATATCTTATGGGAAATATATGCGCTGTACATAATTTACTTTTCTAATGTCGTGTTGCAGAGGGAAAACAAAAAAGCTGCAAATTCCAAATGAAATACAACCCTAATTTTCTTCCTTTTGCGTTATTTCTTTTCTTTATAATTGTAAACATTAACAGGAATATTTCTTGAAAGCTGAAGATGCTGCCACGAGACTTAATGTTCTCAATAGATCTGCTCTAAGGCCTGTTCAAGCTCAAGCCAGGACTCCTGTAGTACAATCGCTTTTGTACACTGAACTTACACCCAGGAGATGCAGTTCTGTTCCCCATTCAACTAGTAGGCAGGAAGAATACATACAAGTAGGTAGCTAAGAAACTCTTCACCTACAGTATTTAGAGAATTTTGATTTACAAGAACTAAGTAGTTCTCTCCCTTCTCATGCTACAGGTTGCTAGAACTCTCCTCACTGATGAAGCTCTAAAACCCTGTCCAAGATGTCAATATCCTGCTAAATATGAATTGGTAAAGAAAAGGGGACTATGTAGCAGAGAGGCATGTGCATTTGAGTTCTGTATTTTATGTCTGCATGCTTTCCATGGGTCAAAAGAATGTGATAGTTTATCTGCAAAATGGAAGAATAAAAAAGATGCTCCTCCAGGAAGTGCCCAAAGCAAAAGAAATTTAAAAAGACTGTAAATTTGTAAGGCACGCAAGTCCTTACATTTAATTCCTTTTCCCCTTCTCGTAAATTCCTAATCTTGTTCATAGTCTTCATAAATATATGCATTTTGAAAGTCTCATCCAATGTGGTTTTGCTGACTTATCTTGTTAACTTCTCATGTATATATCTTAATTTAGCGTATTTTTGTTTTTGAAAAAAGTGAACATTTTAAAAGACTTTTTCTTGTTTTACCTATTGTGTAGCTAGGCACTTACTAACATCTTATTTTTTTAATAAAGAATCTTAAATGTAGTCTTCAATATCTAGCTTACAGCGCCTCATAGATGTTTAAAAATGTGATTCTTGTCTTAATGACAAATTAAAGCAAAATATTTTTAGAAATCTTTTTAATGGGATTTATTTATTCATTTTAAATTACAGTGAATGTTTTAAAAGTATCTTAAAGTGGGGCGCTAGGTGAATGTGCAAAAAATACTTCTACCTAAACAGATGATGAAACCTGAAAACTAATATATTAGTTGTCTGAATTTTATATCAGAGTAATTTTGTTGTTTTCTTAGCCTTTTTAATACAAGACAACAGAATATTAATTTCTAAATCAAGCTGATGCTGTATGGATATTCTGTTGTACTGTTTTCTACAGACTTTTTGTCTTTACTTGAAAAATTCAGGTGATATAGTATATACTCACATATTTAGATATGCTGTTGCATTACCCTTGTTGTGAACTCTACCTTAGTCTGACTTCACTTCATCTCCCAGATACTGGATCATCTTCATAATTCTGCTTGAATTAAAGGACTATCTACTGCTAGAATCATTCTTTCTCTATCTGTAGGTTTGTTTAACGGAATTCACTGATTTTGCTCTTGAACTAAATATGCTGATCCTTTGCAGTAGAAGAACACAATCTGCCTCTCAGACCTCAAATGATTTTTTTCTTACAAACTCCTAGCAATTGTAAACAGCTTGAAATACAGGCAACAGAAGTGGACACAGTACTTACTCTGTGAAGATATAATATCTATTTTCTTCTCCAATTGATATTGTCGTATTTGTCCTTAGAGTTCTCATCACAAGCATTTTGCAGAACTCCTGTAGTCAGCTGGTGTTCTTCCCCACTTACCCTCTGATTTTGTCCTATGTGTTATATTGGTAGTGATGTAGTTTTACTGTGTATATTTGCAGGTAAGCCATATCATTAACATATTTAAAAAGTAGTCTGACAAAAAGAGCACTTTCAACTAAACAATAAGCTGTATATTTGCCTCTAATATTTATTCACATATCCCTTTTTTAATTGTCTGAAAATCACAAATAACTTCTGAGATTTTTTTGTTCTCTTCCAACACAATCTATGGATGTTGAAGACAAATGGACCAGGATAATTCACTTCAAGGTGCTCTAGAATCACAGAATATTCTGGGTTGGAAGGGACCTCTGTAGGTCATCTAGACCATCCCTCCTGCCGAAGCAGGGTCACCTGCAGCGTGCTGGAGAGGGCCTTGTCCAGGCGGATCTTGAATATCTCCAGAGAAGGAGACTCCACAATCTCCCTGGGCAGCCTGTTCCAGGGCTCCGTCACCCTCAGAGGGAAGAAGTTCTTCCTCATGTTCAGACAGAACTTCCTGTGCTTCAGTTTGTGCCCATTGCCCCTTGTCCTGTTGCTGGGCACTACTGAAAAGAACTTGGCCCCATCCTCCTGACATCCACCCTTGAGATATTTCTAAGTATATATTAGGTCCCCTTGCAGCCTTCTCTTCTCCAGGCTGAACAAGCCCTGCTCCCTCAGCCTCTCCTCGTAGGAGAGATGTTCCAGTCCCCTCACCATCCTCATAGGCTGGACTCTCTCCAGTAGCTCTTCATCTTTCTTGAACTGGGAAGCCCAGAACTGGACAGAGTACTCGAGATGAGACCTCACCAGGGCAGTGTCACTTCCTGATTCTCATCTCTAACTGTTATGATTTGTAATTTGGTTAGTACTTTTAGCATACTTTAACTCTATTAATCAAAAGTGGTACCACTAAAGAAGGGATCAACCCGATATATCTGCCAGAAAATCATGTTTATTGCATGAATAAAATTAACAGCACTTTCATTCCATGCTTATTTTTATCTGCTAAGCCTTTGCATTATACTTGCCTAGGGTTAGAATAGTAGCACTTAAACTGGAAGAGTGAAAGAAGAATTTATATAGAATCTGTTCTGAGGGAACAATTGAGGGGAAGGATTTTGGGGCAAGCTGAGGGATATAAAGGTAAGTGTATATATAGTTTTGGTTTAGGAAGAATAGCAATTCATTACAGAGGAGCAGACTGCAAGCAGGAAAATTCCAGAATTACTTGATTTGTTTAATATTTGCATTTACCTAATTGTTTTGAACTTTAAGTGCTGAAGGTCTACTTTAAAGTTAATCTAGTTCAGAGAACTATTGGGTTGGTTCTTTTAATTTTAGGTATAAAGTAACTATACATTTTTAGAAATGCTTAACAGTTTCTATTAAAGGTTAAACTGACATGATGATGAACTTTCTAGGCAGGAGGTTATATTATGCAAGAATCAATGCATATAACTTAACTTTATAACAAATTAGTTTTGTTTCTTGTCATTGGACTATCAGATAAAATAGAGCATAATAGTAACTGCTGTGCAGAGTAACTACAGCGTGTCAGACTGCTATTGGCATCACTGCATTTTACCTTTGCTAAATACCAATGTACTTTGTGTCAGTAATATTAAAAAAAAAAATGAAGCTTTAAATACATCCTTGAAATTGATGGTAGAGTTATGACAGACAATGAGATGATTTAGCTTGTCTTCTGATGTGCAGTATTGCAGTCCAGTCCAAAAATAGATGAGGTGCAAGCCTTGTTCTGAAAACTTCAGCAATAGTTCTGAAAATATTTGTGAAACAGGTGCACCTCTGGATGGAAAGCCATAGGGGAACTCATTTTAAGAATCAGTTGTTAAGTAGCCTTTCCCTTTGAGCAATAAATTTTGGTAAGAGGTGTGTGACCTTCTCCAAAAAGTGCTTTTGCTAAAATCTGAATAACTCAGGGAGAATAGGGGTGGTAAATTGATTCTGGTAAAGCCTTTATCTGTTTTTAAAGGTGGTATCTTTGGCATCCAATGAGTTGCTTGAGAGGAAAAAATATATTTGAATCCTATTTTAGAGTTTTAAACATTTTTTTTTCCCCTGTTTTGGCATGTTTAAAACTTTTTTCATAATATTTGATTGTTTCATTGACAGAAATGAAGTGTTCAGGGTAAAAGAGTGGAAGTAACTTTTTTGAGTCCGTGTTAGTATGCTTTTTTCTGTGTGCTGTATCCATCAATTAGTCTCTATCAGATACTATGAAGCTACATGAGTCTGGCCTTGAATGAAAGAGCAAAGGAGAACATAGGTTCCTACTTTGCTAAAAAAAAAAAAGCAAACAACTTCCCCTCCCCCCAGCCCACCCAACCCCAAGAAACCCAAGTCCATGAGTGTCAGGGAGTTTAGGGATTTGTGCCCAGCATCTTTTTCTCCTGGACTGAATTAATTCTCAGAGACCTGAGGTCAGGCATTAACACTTCTAGCTAGCACAAAGGAGGAGGATGAAAAAGCAGCCCTTGGATAGAAATGACAATGGTCAAGAGCTTCCTAAAATATCCTGCACACTACTATTTTTCAGCTCAAGAATTTTTCTTACAATTGACAACAGATTGTTGGAAAGGGAGGAGTGAATTGTCTTTCACTCTGGAAGATGGGGATAAGGAGATTAAAATTAATGTTCAAGATAATATTGGGTTTATTTGCCACTGAAAACCTTATTTTTGCAATCCTTATTTCCCTTCAGACAGGCATGATCTATAGCTGGAGGGGTGATATTGCCTACAAAGGATGCTCAGGGAATGCTTTTAGATTTCTGAAAGTGATGGTTTGAGCCAGAGCTGTGGGTTTAAATTCTGAAAAAGAATTCTTAGAAGTAACCTTTTGCTGCTGACAGATGTTGCTGAAAGAATTGTAATTCATAAATCTTTTCTGGAGCAGCAACCGTAAACCTTAAGTGGTCTGTGAGAAGGAAACTGAAATTACTTAAGTCTCTGATCTTTATTTCCTTGGTGACAAGTATGGAAGAGCTTAAGCAAAAAAATGTTATAAATCTTTTGAGTTGTTTATAGGATAGAGAGTGTTAGTATGTTCCATCATTGACTAGCTAAAAATAATTTTAAAAGTTTAGTTTAAGTTTAGGAGCTCATCAACATCTGTCAGCTTATTTTCCTATTCCATATACTGGTTATTTATTAGTACTCCTTAGGTAATTTAGGCCATTTACGTTAATTTTAATTCAAGAAGTAATTCATTTTCTTTCTGTTTTCATAGGCACATGTAGAAATACAGGAGTTTCAGATTAGAAAGGGACTCCTGGAGTCTAGTGTCAAGCTCTTATGTCAACTCATGAAGGTTTGTCTTAAAACTGGCTAGAATACTGTCTCATGGCCTTTTGTGTTGGAGACCTGTTCCAGATTTCTCTACTGTTCACCTAGCCAGTTGCGGGGGGTTTTTAGCATTAAAATAGCTGTTCCATACATCTGTTCCTCCCCTCATACTTTTTTCCCCAGTATTATGATTGTGTAGTATAAATACCCCCTCACTCTGTATTTCATTGATAAAAAACTTTGAACTTAGTCTCATCTCTTAGATACAACCTCTGTTTCTTGGATTGTTTTAATGAGCCTTCACTGTTTCCATTGGAATCTATTCTTTGAAACAATGCAAACAGTATTGCAGGTAAAACCTCAAGACCTTGAGTAACATTAGGGCTTTCTTTTCTTTACCAGAAATACTTTGACCGATGCATACGAAGACTAGCATTTCTTTTATGTCCTTCAGCACACTCGCGGTCTAGTCACTATGTGTAGTACTCCCACATTCTTCTCACAAATTTTGAAAAGATCCAAAGTTCTTACTAAACCCTAAGTGCATAATCTCATAATTTTTACTACTAAGTTTCAGGCTTTTTTCCTTTCT